CATTCTGTTCTTTTTATTTTGTTTAGTAAATCTAGTCAAAATTTCGAAACTTAGCTGACAGTTGACAATTCAAAATTCATGAAATTGGAACATTGACTTCTTCTTGTTTGATATAATTATTTGATAATGTAAAATAAGTTATACGATACTTTTATTTTAAAAATTGTTTTTCTATTGATAGAAATATATTTTGAAATATTTGTACTTACTTTTAATTAATTTTAAACTCATCTAGATTTTATATATAGATAAATTATTTTAACTATTATTTTGTATTTTCGTATTGATATTATTCTGCTGTTGATTTTTTATTAGAATGTTTTAAATCAAGTTTCTTATAAACAAATCACATTTGTAAATGTCTTACTTTCATTTTGTTGTTCTGTGGTAAAAATATCATTAAATATGATTAATTTTTTTCCGTTTTAAAAAAATATTAAATACATTTTCAATCTTAAATTAGATTTTTTTTAATTCTAATATGGTTTGATCTATAAACTTAATAAATAAATAAATATAGTTATTTTACAGTATTAATTTTTTTACGTGTTACACGATATTTTAAATTTATATTTGATTAAAAATTTAAATATATCAAAATTTAAGATAAAAAGAAATTCTAATATGTCTAAATTTATAGGAAAAAAAATCATATTTAACATAAAAAACACAAAATTATGAAGGAAACAAAATATACAAAGTTGGAAAGTATATGCTCAATTAGACTTTTTTTTTATTGTGCACGTTAAAGTACACAATAAAAAAATGAGATCGTTTACATTATTGATCATAAAACCCTTATAATTATTTTCAACTAAACCATATAAACCAATAACTCTAGATAACCATTCATTCCTTCTATATGTGATCTAAAGTAGAAAATTTTTGTTACACTTAGGCTTTGTTCTTTTGGTAGATTTGGGGAGATGATTTAGAGGAGATGATTTGAATGGATTTGAGTGAATTTGAGGGTAATTTTTTAGTTATTTTTTTGAGTGGATTGTGGGTAATTGAAAGTGGATTTGGAAGTAAAGTTTATGAGAATTAGTGTAGGATTTGATTGATTTGATAGATTTTAAAAATTAGTTTAATTGGTAGAAATTAAATATTACCAAAATGCCCCTAGTTATAAAAGTAATATAAAATGTTATTTATAAATGTTATATTTAATTGTAAAAATGTTTATAAAGAAAAAAAATTATGAATAATTTATAAAATTAATGTTTAAAAATTATAAAAATTAAATAATCAACTTATTTTTAATAAATTAGAAAAAATAATATACCTAATTTTATTAAGATGTAGATCTTTTTAAATTATAAGGGTTAAATATGTTTTTAGTCCCTAAACTATTGGCCATTTCTGGTTTTCGTCCTTCTTTCAAAGTAAGGTACAATTTGATCCTCATTCTTTTCGAAACGTTCGTTTTAGTCCTCGAAATTTTGGTTTTAGTCCTCATTTGTTGCTAAATAAGGACCAAATTTTTAAATAGTGTTTAGTTTTCGAGGACTAAAACGAACGTTTCGAAAAGAATGAGGACCAAATTGTACATTACTTTGAAACAGGGACGAAAACCAGAAACGGCCAATAGTTTAGGGACTAAAAACATATTTAACCCAAATTATAATATTAAAATAATTATACAAAAAATTGAAAAAAATATATATCCTGTAACCGGTTACGCGTGTGCCAGCAAAAACTTCATTCTTCTATAACCAGTTACACTCTGCTCTAACCGGTTACGCCACCCTCGTCGTTGCTTAAATTGGAGGGCACATACGACTTTTCCGCGACAATCCACTCAAATCTCGTCACAACCGCGGGTGACTAAACAGTGCAACCATCCCGCATTTGACTGCAAATCCGTCCGCGCATTTCACTTCAACCGAACGCATAACGAGTTTAATTCCTCGCTCACAAAACTGTGTGAACAGTTAAATCGCTTCAAATGAACACAACTTTAAATTTTTTACTTTTCCATTTTTAACTTCTTCCTTTTATTTTTATTTTTCTTCTCTTTCTTGAATAGCTTATATTATTCGATGACCTTGCACAACCACCCATATGTTTATTAAAAATTAAAAATTATATAAAAAGAACCCTAAACTATTAGATTAAAAATATATAAAAGAAAAACAGCGGTTACAAAGCTATCTTCCCTGCAATAGGTTTCACAAAACTATCTGATCATCGTTGTTTATTAAGTACTGCCACGGTTTAAAAACAAAACAAAACAAAACATGTTTTGATGTTTGAGAACAGTGAATTTAGATATTTAGATATTTAGATATTTATACAAGTAGATCTTGATGCCACTGTAGTCAAGAGATTCTGAGTCATCAATTACGTCATTTTATTTGCTGTCCTACAATTGCCACTCAAAGTCATTAAAGTCAATCAGTATTGGTTAAAGAATGAATAAAATAATTTATACCTATCAAAACTTAAATATTTACAAATATAAATATAACATGTTATATACGAAATGATGACCAAATCAAAATATGTCTGGTTTTCAGTAGCTTCGAGATATGGTTTGCAAGACAACTTTCAAAGTATTAAGATATGGGAAATCAATGGAAGAAATACATTAATCTCAAATAAAAAATTCACAAAATCCATTATCTAAAATGAAAAAATAAATAAAATAATGTAACCTACTTTTTTCACATGAAAGAGACACCTTTTAAATATCTATAGCTCATTCAATTTTTTTTCTACAACGATGTATTATTTATTTTGTATTATACACATATTTGGTTAAGAAATATTATTTTTATATCTCGATTGTATAAAATAACATACGACATGTTAAATCATGATGGCAACGTTTGAATTGCATGTATTATGTGATATATTTTATTTTAAATATTAGTTTAAAATACTGTTTAATACGTAAAATAAACTAAAATTACTAAATTAAAAGAATATATTTATTTATTTTTCAATTAAAAAAAATGAATAAAAGTATATTTTTAAGTATAATTTTAGAAATTGTGGTAATTTAATTATGAAGTTTATTTATGTGTGAGAGGAGATAAGATGATAATAACATATGTGTCTGTCAGTGTCGCGAAGAAACGTGGTTTGATTTGAAGTGACAGCAATTCCCACGATTGAATGAGGAACTCCCTTCACGTGACCCTACCAACCTTCAAATCAAGATCAACAAAATCACTCTCATTCATTATTAGTATGAGATCACTGCTGAAACCATCTCAATAGCAATTCCAATTTTATGATTATTTAAAACGTGGAAAACATGCTCTATCAAAATAATCCACTGCTACACGGTTCATTTTCCACAAAGTATAGAATCACCACGCATCACCCTCGTCTCTCACTCTGCAGAATATCCATCCTCAGTCACAAATCATGTCGGAAGATGATGGACGCACCAGCTTTAGACATTTCCTGTGCATATGATTTTTATCAAAATGTTACATCAGAGGATAAACATAAAAACCACGACGCTTGTTCAAGACGAAACTGTTTGAGTTAATATATTTTGATGATGAGAATTTATTAATGAAATATGTGTTAGATCTCCCGTTATATGCAAGAAAATGTATGAATTATATATGCTTAATTAAATTCAGAGTTTTTGTTAACTTTCTTATATTTATTAGATCTTAACAGTTTTATATTTTTTTTATTAAATATTTATTTTTAATTATTTTTGTTAATTTGGTGAAATGACTTTATATGAAAAAGAAATCTAAACATTGAGAGTCAATTGAAAGTATACATTTTTTGAGTCTTTAATAAATAGGAAAATGTAATAATTAATTCAATTAAAAATATTTAAATTTATTTTTTTAACAAATTTATTCATACATAGGTTATAGCAAAATAATAATAATAAAAAATTAGTTTATACTTAAGTTAAAAATATAAATATATAAAAAAAAATTTACAGTTTTTTCTTGTTTATTTAAATTTTTTTTCAAATTTTAAATTTTTTTATTGTGAGTATTTACTGATATATTTATTCAAATATATAAAAATTGATTATGATGCATATTATATTAAAAATAACCTATTTTCTTTCTTGTTTTACAACAAATTTGTAATATTTTTTTAAAACGAAGACAAAACATGTTAAATTTTGTTATATTTTCCTATTTCTTTTTTTTATGTTTACCTATTATTTTCCCTTCTTATTGTAAAACGTACCATTTAACTCGAGTTCTAAATTTAAAACAAAAGAAATTGAATTTAAAAAATATCAACTATAATCACCCTTAAACTCTTGTAAAATTTAAAATGTTAAATAATATGGTAAATGAAAAAGCACAACCACAAAAATATAAAGCTAAACTAACGTAACAAAGTAAAACATCAATTTTGAAAATAAACTCCAAAAATGTTAAAATCCCAAAAGATATAAAAAAATAATGATAGCTTTGTCCAAAAATATTTTCCTTCATTAAAAGTGAAATATGTGAAAATTCATCAAGTTAACTCACATGTATAAGTCAAAAATGGACAAATTTGAAAACTTTGTCTCTTCTAATTAGAGTATTTCCAATATCACTTTCACACATCAATAATCCTTAAAAAATTTAGATAATTGAAAACAACCTTCCAATAATTTTTAAAACATAATAATATCTTAACTATTAGAGTTTTATAGTTAAAGACAATTCTCCTTTAATCTCAACATCAAGAATCAAGTATTAAAACTATTCAAAGTTTAGAGATATTATGTAACTTCAACACTTAAAACAATGCTTATAAATTATTGGGTTAAATATGTTTTTAGTCTCTAAACTATTGACCGTTTCTGGTTTTCGTCCCTCTTTCAAAGTAAGGTACAATTTGGTCCTCATTCTTTTCGAAACTTTGGTTTTAGTCCTAAAAAACTAACACCGTTAAAAATTAGCTGACGTGGCTAACGGTAGACTGACACACGATTTTTTTTTTTGGAGTGTTTCTCACATTTTCTCCCCTTCTCTCTCTTCCTTCCATCTTCCACCCAACTTCATCTTTCACATCATAAACCATGCATTTTATTACGCTTATGTCCCTTCCGTCTTTCTTAATTCACATGTCACTGCCCTACTCAGACATTATCATCATCAACAACAATAATAATAAGGTTTCTGAATTGGTCGTGTCGTGTCCATGGCTGTGTCCAACGGCGTCGAAGCAGTGTTAGAGTTTCTGCGGAAGAATGGCTTGTCGGAGGCGGAGTCCGCGCTCCGAGAAGACATCATCGAGAACACCGACCTCGGAAACTTCGACTACGAGAAGTTCTTCTTCCCCATGGTCCCGCCGCCGCCGGTCAGAGTCCGATCCTTCTCCCGACCGTCCGAGTTCGCCGTCGCGGATGACGATGACTCCAAATCCAGCTCGGACAAGTTCGTCACCATCGATTCTTCCACTTCTCGCGTCTCTTCTTCAGGTACTCCAAATTCAAATTGAAAATGATAAGTGATTGATCGATCACTCTCTGTTCTATGTAACGGAGACCTAAGCAGTTACTGTTTGATGTTTTCCACTCCGTGCTGCTAGTGCTACTATTGAATTGGATGCTTTTTTAGTTTTTTTACACTTAGGTGTTTTCAATTTGTAAATTAGGATCGCGTAATTGATCATCTATATTTGATTTCGTGTGTTTGGTTTTGTTGATCACACAGCTCAATTGCATGCGTATTAATTCAGCATTATACATATAGAACAATTCATTTTAGGGGATGCAGAGTATTAGTGGTTTCGTACTGGAAAAAGTACTTGACGCCGAGAAGCTTCTTCGCCGCGCCGAAGTATCGGTAACCGGGGTCGCGCCCCCTCAGAGTTGAAGAAAGTAGAAGAGGGCACAAGGAATGACGGAGAGGTAACAACCCATGAGAGTAAGAATTGGAATGAGTTTGGAGGAATGAGAGAGAAAGAGAAGTTGAAGACAGAGAGGTGACACTGGAGAAAAGCTGATAAACTCTGACAAAAAAACAATTGTGTCAGTCTCCCGTTAGCACGTCAACACATTTTTAACGGTGTTAGTTTTTGAGGACTAAAACCAAAGTTTCGAAAAGAATGAGGACCAAATTGTACCTTACTTTGAAAGAGGGACGAAAACCAGAAACGACCAATAGTTTAGGGACTAAAAACATATTAAGAATGAGGACCAAATTGTACCTTACTTTGAAAGAGGGACGAAAACCAGAAACGGCCAATAGTTTAGGGACTAAAAACATATTTAATCCTAAATTATTTTACCCATAAGTCTTAACTAAGATCCACACATACAAATCAGAAAGGAAAAAAAAGCTTTAACATGAACTTTGAAATAATAATTAAAAATAAAAACTTTTAAGACATCCACCACAAAAACACACTTTTACAAAGATATCTCATTTCTAATGTAATAATATACAATATTAAATTACTCATAAAATCTAATAATATCTAATCATATTTCAATATATCAAAAAATATCTAATATATAACAATACATAAAATATCTCATACTATCTAAAAATATCTCACAACTTCTAATAATATAAAATAATATATAATATATTAAAAAATATCTCATAGTATCTACCAATATCTCATAATCTCCATTAGTACATAATAATATCCAATAATATTCCTTGACATCCAATATCTAATATATTTTTAATTGTATAATTATTTTTTTTTTAAATACTAAAATAAGTATTCTAAATTAAATAATTAAAAAATAGATAAATCTTTTAAATCGTATTACCTAATAAATCATTCCATCATTTACTTAAAATATATATTTAACCTTTATCTATTTTTCAAATTATTACAATTTCTATATTCTCACGTGTATCTCCCTCGAAATAAAAAAGCACATGGGTAGTGAAAGTAACCAAAATTCCTACTACTCTTGGAAAAAATCAATTAACTTCTGATCTGGATAAGACTAAATCAACCCAAAATCTTTATGTGCAGCAAATTTTGAATGAAATTTTCAAACAGTCAATAGATATCCAATTTCCAATATTAATTTCACAATATTTGCTTTTTATGTTTATTGTTTCTTTATATTCAAGTACTTCCAGAAGTGAGATATACTTTAACTCGAAATCAATAATTATAATTTATACACATTATTTTCTCTTATTTCATTAAAACATGTTTTAAAAAATTATGACATAATTAATTAAAAGCCAGTTTCAAACATTAACAGTTGGAACATTATTGTTGTGTCTCATAATAAAGATAATGATCGAAGTTACTCTCTTATATCGTATGTGTTTGTTTTAATATGTTTTAACTTCACATATTAAGGTTGAACTAAAAAATATTTTTATACACTCAGCTGTTTTAATCTACTAAATCATATTTAAAAAAATGAAACTGAAAAAATAAACCTTAAAAATTTGATAATATTTTTTCATATAAAGATTGTCTTTAATCATGATATCTTAATTTCCAACCAGTTTCTTTTCTAAAAAGCACAACACAATAATTGTTGTTTTGTTTTAGATGAATATATTATTCTTCGTTTGACTTTGTAGAAGAAACATTATCAGATCTTCCAAACTAGAAGGTAGTTCAATTGTATAAAGGTTTTCATTTGCCGACAAGCAAGAAAAAGATAATTATATTAAAAAAAATTCTACCGATAATTTTTTATTTTAAATTGGGAAACTATTTGTTGAGTTTTGTATTTTCTTTTGGCGTTTTCTTTTTTTACTTTACAAAAATTATCAAAGATTAACAGATAATTAAATAAGCATTTTATAAGAACTATTTTTTTAAGAACAAGAAAACTCTGTAATATAAAAGACCATTTGGATATTTTCAGTTCAGATATGAACAATATTTTAAAGGTATACCTATTCTATTATTATATTGGTCTACCACCCTTAAGGCTTTTATTAAAATTTTTATGAACTCGTCGAAGAATTTTACTCAACACTAAAATCGCTAAAGTTTTCTTCACTTGAATAGATTTAGAGGAGATAATTGAAGGGATTTAAGAGGATTTAAAGATAAATTTTTTTATTATTTATTTGAGTGAATTTGAAGGTAAATGAGAATGAATTTGGAAGTAGATTTTTTTAATCTGTCAGTCAATCAAATCCTACACTAATTCTTACAAACTTTACTTCCAAATTCATTCTCACATACCTCCAAATTCTCTCAAATAAACAAAAAAAAAATCTTCAAATCCTCTCAAATCCCCTCAATTACTTTCCCTCAAATCCCTTCAAGTAAACAAGACCTAAGAATATGTTTTATCCTTAAATTCATTTTGTTTTCACTTTAACTTTAAAATGATTTTTAAGCTTATAAAAATCAATTACATCCTATAACACTCAACTTTTGGATAACTTAATATATATATATATATATATATATATATATATATATATATATATATATATATATATATATATAACTTACATTGGTGAAGAAAATAATCTTTTATCCGAAATAATACAAACTAAAAATTAATGGAAATTAAAATAGTTTTTATTATGAATAAAAAAAATATAATTATTTGTAAATTAAAATTAAATATATATCTAAAACAAGTACCAATATTTTAGCAACTTATTATTATTAATTAATTTAAACACTAGTTTTTTGATTGATAAAACTTAGATAGTTAATGTTGTATATCAATTTTAGACTCTATTTCATAAATCAACTATAACTTTTGTATTTATTACACAAACTATTTTATATACAATTAATGTTTTGTTTATATGTATCTAAATTAGTTAATACAGTAATTATTTATTTCTGTTATTAAAATTTGTTACTATTTAATGCTTTTGTAGTGTATGTTTCCATCTCATAAAGTTCCTTAAAAACCCATTGAATTTAAGTTTGTTCAAATTTTAATTTCAACTTAGGCTATCTACATTAATTTAAAATGTAATGTTAAGCATAATATTAACAATTAAAATTATTTAATATTGTTCAAGCATACTTCACTCCAAACTTTGTATTTTATTTTTCCGTAAAACATATATATTGATTTTTTATTCCGTCTATTTGAGTTTTAGTTTTATTCCGTCTATTAATAAAACTAAAACTAGGCTCGTCACACTGTGAACCCGTTGTTAAATGTTCGCTAATTATTGATCCAGTGACTTTTTATAAATAAAAAATTAATTATAATATTAAATGAAACTTTAATGAAGTTATTATAAATAAAGTCTAAAAAGACTTATTAATAAAAACAAACTTGAAACGAGATATTAAATTATTTCTATGTCAAACTTGAAACGTAAACTACCAATAAATTGCTTGTTCCAATATCAAGTTTGAGTATTTTGGAAACTAAAATGAAAAGGAAGGATAAGTTGTCATAGTTTAATTGTTCTTAATGAAATTTAATGTTTTAATAACTAACTTTTGTTAATAAAAACTTAAATTGTTTTAAAAAAGAAGAAAATTTTGGAATTTTGCAAAGTTTCAAGTGAGTCAGCTATATCATTTTTAGATTATTTATTAATTATATTTTATAATTTTAAATAAGGTGATGTTAAATTTTGACATCTAGTATATGATTGCTAACATTCTAAAATCAATCTATCATTTATGAAAATTTATTAAAACAAAAGGTATGAAATCATAATAGACAAGTAATATAAATTATAATTCACGGAAACATCGATAAACTATATTTATTATAAAAATATATAAATAAACACGTAAAGGTAAATATGAATAAAGTTAAATTAATTAATTTATTACTATAATGATTTTTTTTAGGAAAAAATTTATTATGAAAAACTTTGAGTGACATATGTATATAAAAAATACAAATATCGACATAATTTTTTTTAAACTTTTAGATATTCAAATATAAATATCAACAATCTTTTTCTAAGACTTTAAAATATCACTTATTGATCCAAAAAGTTAGGGTAGAGTAAAAATAAATAAATTTTCAACCAGAAATAATATTACTCATATATTTTTAAATTTTATTCTTAGTCACATAACTCCTTAATTTAAAAAATAACTTATTAAAACATAATTAAGTTATAAAATTTATTTTGATTTTTCATCTTTCAAATTATTCAAATAATTACAATAAATTTATAAATTTAATAACTTTAAACAAATAATAAAATATTAAATTTTATATTTTAATGTTTTGTAACTAAAAAGGTTGAATTAATTACCCAAACAAATATATTTTCACTTTTAATCACTCTAACCATAAATTTATATCTTTACAACTTTCTTTCTTAATTCTGCTAGCTACAAAATAGTGATGCAATTCCGAGTTTCAAAACATTTCAATGTATCGAGTTTAAATCAATATTAATTTTTTATTGAATTAATTTTCTAATCTTAAAAACACATTATTTATGTGTATGTCATAAAACACCGTCGTTTCTATCTCTGACTAATTTCTCTGCTATTTCTCTTCCACGTGTTTTAGCTTTATCTCAATTCAATGTACCCACTCAACATTTTTTTCAAGG